CTGATAGTGATGATGACGGTGAAGTGGATGAGGAGGTCAGTGAAGGATTGGTTGACGCAGGGCCGTCCAACGCAGGGCCGTCTGACGCAGGGCCGTCAAATGCAGGACCGTCCAATGCGAACAATAATTTGCCGTTAGCTCTTGGTAGGGAAAAGCGTTCCAATGCCGGAGTTCCACCCAAACGTTTTGCTTTCCGCGTAGAGATGGAGGAAGAGTCGGATGATGATGTCGATATTCCGGAATCTTACGAGGAAGCAATGGCATCTCCCTATGCTGAAGTTTGGCGTGCTGCAATGCTTGAAGAGCTTGAGTCTTTGCGTGCGAAGGGTACTTGGTCCTTAGTGCCGAAGCCCAAGGACAACAGATCTCTTGACGTTAAGTGGGTTTTCTCATTGAAGCGTGACAAGCATGGTGCCATTGAACGGTTCAAGGCACGCCTAGTAGTGAAAGGTTTTATGCAACGTGAGGGTGTGGATTTCCAGGAGGTCTTTGCGCCGGTAAGTCGCCACACTACCTTGCGTACTTTTTTGTCCATGGTAGCTGGCGCCGATATGGAATTGCACCAACTAGATGTCAAGACGGCGTTTCTGAATGGCGATTTAGAAGAAGAGATTTATGTTAAACAACCCCCCGGTTTTGAAGAGGGAGGCCCGGGGAAGCTTGTCTTCTTCATAAGGCCTTGTATGGCCTTCGCCAAGCGTCGCGTGCATGGTATGACACGTTATGTGAAGAATTAGTGTCGATGGACTTTGTCGCGTCGAGTGCGGACCCTAGTTTATTTGTTCGCCGTAAACAAGGCGAGGTTGTATATCTTTTGGTTTATGTAGACGACGTTTTGATTGCGTCTTGGAGCGAGAGAGCCGTTTCAGAAGTAAAGGCGGCTATCATGCGGCGGTTTGAGTGCCGCGACTTAGGAGAGGCAAGTTTATTTTTGGGTCTTACTCTTAAGCGCGATCGAGCGAACAGGGTAATTACCGTTTCTCAGGGGCGTATGGTTAAGGACATTGTGGGTCTTTATGGCATGGCTAATTCACGGCCGAAGTCTGTACCTATGAGTCCTGGAACCGTCTTACCTAATGCTGCAGTGGAAGATCGGCTGGATCGAGAGCGTTTCCCGTATAGCCAGTTAATTGGCAGTTTGTTGTACGTGTCTGGATGTACTCGTCCTGACATTGCACAAGCCGTGGGAGTTTTGGCGCGGGACATGTCGAATCCTAGCAGGTCGGACTGGAAAGCGGCGAAGGAGGTAGTACGCTATTTGGCAGGAACGTCCGATTACGGATTACTTCTAGGTGGTGAACGAGCAGATGAGAGGTTGGTCGGATATAGCGATGCTGACTATGCGGGTTGTGCTGACTCGCGGCGGTCAACGTCTGGTTATGTCTTTACTCTTCATGGTGGTACAGTTAGTTGGGCTAGCAAACTTCAGCGGAGCGTGGCTGCGTCCACTATGGAGGCTGAGTATATGGCTGTTTCGGAAGCTGCTAAGGAGGCTTTATGGTTGCGACAACTACTTGGCGATCTCGGCTACGACCTCAAGCCAACGCAGATCAATTGCGATAGTCAGAGCGCAATTCGGTTGGCGAGCAATCCGGTTGTTTCGAAGCAATCGAAGCACATCTCTGTGCGTTATCATTTTGTACGGGAGCAGGTAGCGCTCGGTACGCTTGTGATGGTAGATTGCAGGTCGGAAGATATGGTAGCTGATTGCTTAACGAAGCCTTTACCAACTGAGAAGTTTGAGAAGCATCGTATAGCGATGAACGTGTGCAAGTCCTGAGCGCGTGGGAGTGTTGGAAAGTGCTCTTAGGTACACTCAGGCTTGACACTTCGGTAGTTTGATTAGTTGCCGTTATCCCAATACGACATCGGATCAGGATTGGCTACGGTATGCTTATATACTGCTTGCGTATCCTTTCTCTCTCTCTCCTTGTGTAACGATATGAGCGAGTGATGTGTTCACTGAAGGACTCTTATCTCTAACAGTAGCGCTTCCGAAAGAACGGCTAAAGCGGCCTTGGACAATCGGTCTTAACTAACTGAGAAGTAATGGCAGTGCACGGTGCCGCAAAGGCTTTAGGGCCGGTGTCATCTTGCACCGCCATGAAGCCAGCAACTGCTGATGAACATCTAGATGGAGGCGGTATCATGGCTACGGGGCCTCGTGCCTTGGCAGCTTTAGCCTTGACTGCCAGAGCGCGCATTTCCTAGGTCAGTCAAGAGGGGACAGTGGCCCCTATTGGCTATCTTGTTTGGGTTGAGAGCTTCCTTAAGCGGCGTAAAATCAGGCTCAATGCGCAAACTCGCGTGATGGAGCCTTGACTCATGAGACTGTGCGCGCGTGTGATGCATCCTTCCCGCGGGAAGGAGAGTGCGGCTCTTGGCTGCTTAGGAGGGGGCAGAGGCCCCACGCACCCCTTTCCCATCCGCGGGAGAGAGCTTAGGCGGTCTTTCCGTTAGGGCTGGGCAGCTGGCCCTGCCCAGTGTCACGCCCCGGTTAGCTACTTGTAACTTTCAAGGTAGCATCCTGGATGTATTACGGCATTTTTGACATCGGAACGTTGGTGCATTTTTTGTAACCATGGTGCAAGACCTTTACATACACATGTGTATGGGTTGTGTGTAAATATAGGCACATTAAGTATGGTCCTGCAACAAAAGTATCCCTGATTCGCCGAGAGGTAACAGGTAACTGGAGTTACACACTTCGCAGCGTCACTGCTATGCAGCTACCAAGGATGTGCACGGTGTGAGGAGGAGCTGCGTTTGATTCAGGTTCAAACTGAGAGAGCAGTGGCTTTACATTACACCTGTCGGGTGCAGCTGCTGGCCAATGCTGCCATTAAGGCCTCACTCATGGTTGGGGTGGGCAGCGATAAATGATGGCTACACCGCATAGTTGCTTTTGTTTCCCGCTGATATTCTTCAGCCACGGGAGGTTTTGGCGCCCTGGCCACCGTCCCCCTGCTGCGGCCCCCTGTTCGTCATCAACGTCGCGATCTAATTGTCTGCATAATAAATTAAGGAGTAACTTGATAAATGCATAAAGCGAACGAATTTGAGGGGGCCTAGCTCGAATAAAGGTTAGCCCTTTAGGCCACGACGTTTGTGTACCTATATCTAACCGGCCTATGGCCGTATGAGTTTGAGCACCTGTGAAAAGTCAAGTAAGTTTAAATGACATATTGTAGGACGCTGGCTCTGACACGATAGCATGATGAAACGCGGCACATACCATATATGCCCAAACAATCATCCGTCAACAATCATCCGTCGTTCTTGTAAGCACTTTAACGTCCAAACCATTCACGGAGCTGTGTATTGATGTGCTGATGTCTCATTACCTGTTACTAATGCTATCGACAAACATGTTAAATAATCTTCCTTCCCGAAATACAAAGTTTTCTGGCGAAAATGGCGCAGCGGCTATTGCATGGCATGCAGGTTTGGGCAATTGGGGCTTAAAGTGCAGGCATCTTTAAGGGGCGAAATTTTTTAAAGCAGCGTTTTTTGGAACAGTTAAGGCTCAATTTTGCGGTCGGTCCCAGAGCAACTTTCATTTGGGAGCAATTGGACCTTCCCACGAATAGGCGAGATCAGGCGAACGTTGTCTCCCCAATTGGCTATAGGCCATCCATCCTTGGGGATGCATCCATAGCTCTACCAATTACTACTGCTACCTAACAACTAGTGGTTACAAAGTACTGACAGTACTATAACTTTCCAATTATGCCGCACTGACCACATTTGCCCCACGCCGCCTGGTGTCACGACACGCAGCATCGTCACGGTTGCTTGAATACTTTTGTAACTGCTGTTGCTACCAAATTGCTGCTGCAGCTACTGCTATTGCTACTGTTGAGCTTCGTACTCGGGCCAGTACTGTTGTTGCTGCTATAATCGGTAACGTTGCTATTGCTAATGCAACTTATGCTAAGTGCCGCTCATGCATACAGAGAAGACAGGTAACTTTTCGAGCTGCATATGCCAACGGTGGTGACAGTTAGTGTGGCGACAGGCGGCTGCTGCCACCATCGACAGCGGCATCATGGATTGCGGCGTCGCCAGACTCCCCCTCACGGCGGCTGCGGCGGCAGGGTTGTTGACCTCCTGTGCTGCTACTGCTGTGCTACTGCTGCTGCTACTGCCGCTGCAAAGGTTCCCTGCCGGCATAGCGGCCACATTGACATGGGGAGCGCGCTGCACAGGATATGAAAGTGCACATGAAAGTGAGGCCGGTTCATGTCGGGTGTCCGGTGTTGCGTTGCTGCTTCAGCAACAGCTGTACTCGGCAAGAAGGGCCACCAGTTTCTGTTCCACCTGCAGTGGCAACAGTAGCAGCAGTTTTAGTAGCAGCAGTCCAAGCAGCAGTTTTCCTAGCAGCAGCAACATCAGTAGCATTACGTATCGACACGCACCATGCATCATGTCCCACAGACACACACACACACACACACACACACACACACACACACACACACACACACACACACACACACACACACACACACACACACACACAGACACACACACAGAAGTTTGCTTCTAATCAAGGCCAACACATCTTCTTCCCCGGCCCGACAGACACACGCGCACACATACGTAGCCCCAACGCCCTGTCGTCCTGTCGCATTACGTAGCGGCTGGCTGGGCAAACATCCATGCACATATCACAACGACCTCCTGCTAGAAAACACATCCTCCTGTGTCCGGCGAGTGGGCCTATTGCGGCCTTTTTGCATGACCCATGGGTCGTTCATAAACTACACAAACCCACAGACCACCTGCCTGCGCAAACGTGGGTCTCCGTCCAGGCTCCTGTGCCCAGCACTCGGCCGCCAGGTCGCACCAGGCGGGTGGCGCGCTACACGGGAAGGCTGGTCGGGAGCCCTGGGCCACGACGCGATGTACGACTTCACCCGCCGTCAGACCGCTGTACGGCCGGGAGCCCGTGTACAGCTCCCACACTGAGGAGACCAGGGACGAGGAATGGTGCTCAATGAAATGGTGGTGGTGGATAACTAGTATGCTTATCCATACACTCGCACTGGCTAATACCTTATAGAAATGCCAGGTGAGACATGACCTGCCGGACTCGTACTGCATGGCCCATCTTTCGTCTTCTTTGAGGGGTGGACACCGGCCCCAGGAACACATCATAAATTCGGCATCATAAATTAGGACTCAGTTCAAAATGTGCATTGGCCCACTGGTAAAGTGTGTCAGCAATGCCACTATGGTGGCGTCATCATGCCTGTACGAAATGTGACCAGGAACATGTTATGTGCCGTTGCTCGTCCAAAGTACAGCACATTGTACGGCATACCCTGTAAAGATACGTAATTCCTCACTTAACTGAGCACACCGAATGCGTAAACATCGGTCGCTAGGTGCATCTGTCCGCCCATTAAGCTCTCCGGGGGCATGTGAGTGATGGTTCCCACGTTCTGTGAGGGAGTAAATCGGACAGGTGGTGGTTAGGTGACCGTTAAATTCGTTAGGGTTCGTCAAAGTTCGTTGCCTGGGATTTCCTTGAGGAGAGGCGCGGGGGTTTAGGGGGGTTCAAACGAGGCGACACGGGGGAAACGAATTCACCTTGACCTTTCGCTGGAGCGCTTCTCCTGCACATGGCCTTACGAGTGTGCGGGTATGTGGACGGGCGCTACTGACTTCTACTGCTCACGTGTGTCCCTAACTGCCCAACTGCCTGTAACTGTCCCATAACCGCCCAACCGCCGGTTACGTTGTGTCCGTAGCCAGGAGGGTAATGGGCGGGTGTGGTATCTGGTATGGATGGCAATGGTACGGATAGCTATTGATAGTTTTTGATACGTGGGTAGTTGCGGGTGCAGACACGCGAACGAGCAGCAGTTAAGGAGGGTGACGGAAAAACAAGGGCAAAAACAAAGGTAAAGGTGGGAGCGAGGCGCCCACCAAGATTGGATCGCCATGGCACTGAGGAGAAGAGGAAAACAGGGGCTAGAAGGGGCCCTCCATCGCATGTTGTGCAAAAGGCTTTTAGCCCTATTTTTACATACGGCACCATCGCAGCCAAAACGTGTGATGCCAACCCCTGCCGTACTGCCGTGCGAACGTACGACAGCACGTTCAATCTCACTCGTGTTGTTTGGTGCGTCCGTCCTGGATCCAACGCCCGGCTCAGGCCGAAGTCGGCGACCTTGGCCACGTAACGGCAGGAACTGTACGATGCCGGCGGTTTAGACGCTGTCGGTCCAAAGGCGACGGCAGCGCCGCGACCGCCGTCATCATCGTCCTCGTCGCCCCAGCTGCGAACCGCGTTATCCCTCGGCGTCCCCGCCACGTCAGCAGCTGCCGGCGGCTGCAGTGGCAACGTAGCACCTGATTTGAAGGTTCCCTCCGGCCTGAGTGTCCCCTCCCCGGTCACCGTCGCTTCCGTCGCTGCATCCTTCCCTTTTCCCCTGCTGCTACTGCCGCTGCTGCTACTGCCGCTGCTGCTACTATCGCTGCTGTTACTGCTGCTGCTATTTGCGGGCTGCAATTGTGGCTTTGATGGCGAGTCGGAGGCGGCGCTGCGGGCTCGAAGCAGCTGAATGGCACGGGAGGAAAAAGGCGGGAAACAAAATCCTGTGCGGTAAACGCCACAAGAGACGTTCCTTGTGCTAACCATTTTATGAACCCTGATCTGAACTAAACAAAGAAGACAACAATAAAAGTTTTTAAAAATTTCGCACGCACAGAGCACGAACAGGGCTCAGCTCACAAATCAAAACTGCCGCCCAGTACGAACTAACTTCTCCTCATCCCAGATACTCACCACATTCTCCGCCTTAAGGTCCCCATGCACGATGCCCCCTTTATGAAGGTAGGCCATACCGCGACTGATATCCAACGCCAGAGACAAAATGGCGGGCTGAGGAGGAGGCGGACGAGAACGGAGGCGGCGGAGGAGGAGAGTGCGAGCCAGAGACATGTGTGTGAAAAGGCAGTTCTTCGGAAGTGTGTGATAGTTTTTCGAGTGTATTTTTCAGGTGTACGGCACCAGGAGGATGTGCATGTGAGGATGCATATGTACCGGCCGGCAGCGGTGCAGGCATGGGCTGTTCGACTTCCGTTAGTAGTTAGGTCTTCCGGTCCAGAAGGTGGTTAACACTGTAGGATTGGATCCTCGTCCTCATTTTTAAAATTCTTCCCTGTGGATTTTAAACTTGGTGGATTTTTCGAATTATGTTTTAATCATCTCGCACTATGACAATAACCACGGAAAACATGTTAACAGTGTTGACGTTTCTCGCCACCAACGAATTTTCAAAGAACCCCTCATGACCAGAAGAGGCCGACACCCACCATGTCGACTTGAGAAGGTAGGCTGCCAGCTCGACGGCCCTCCTGTACGACACCCAAGGACCTCCCGCCGTACAGCGCTGACGACAGCGCGCCGCCGTCGCAGAGCTCCTGGATGAGCCATGTCTGTGGGGTAAAGACAAGAGAGAGAGACGAGATGTACGACAGGATGGAAGAAGATTAGCGACGCAATGTCGTTAACATATATACACACATATAAATACATCCATGTGTGCCTAATTACACGAACTTACGTAGATCCACCATCATCCCCCATTACCATTCGTCTTGCCAGAGCGGCCCTAAAACTTCATCCCAAACAATGCCCATCCCCTTGTGCCGTACCTCGTACAAGCTGCTTGCGCTTTCTGCACCGCCGCCGCCGCCGCCGCGGGATCGCCCCGGCGTGGGGAACATGTCCACACCACTACTGCCGCTGGCGATGCCGCCTCCGCCTCCGCGTTGTGGGCCTCCCGACGCCTTCTGTATCGCAGCAAAAAGGATGGCGGTCACGAACGGCTCCCACGTCATTCACTACCACCGTCGTCACGGTGACAAGGTAATGGGATGTGGGAACGAGCTCCGTTTCACGGATCTCAACCTCAACAGCTGAGCGATCAATACGTGATCTAATGCACACAAACCCAGGCCAATGGCCACCCTATCCATGCGGATCCTGCCGCCGTCCCGGTTTCGTTATCCAACCACCAACTGGTATGCAGCCTGGTCCAGATCCCTCACAGATGTATTTCACCTGGTGGACCGGAGGTGAGACCCGAACCCGCAGCTTCCGGCTATCACGACAGCGGCTTTGGGATTTGAACCCAAGAATAGCCAATTACCTAGTGCATGTGCGCGTGTGTGCGTGTGTATATTTAACATGGCATAGGATGAAATATGAAGTGAAAGACGGTGAGTTTCTTTCACACGTGTGACACGGATAGCATCGCACCGTGTGAAGCGCACATACACACACATACACACACGGTGGTTTGTGGTGCTCCCGCGCTGTTTCACATGTTTCCCACATTCCACATTCCCCTCTTCCATCCCCTGACACCCCCCCCCTTCGTCCAGTCCTCCATCCCCTGACACCCCCCCGCCTTCGTCCAGTCCTCCATCCCCTGACACCCCCCCGCCTTCGTCCAGTCCTCCATCCCCTGACACCCCCCCGCCTTCGTCCAGTCCTCCATCCAATCCTCCCTTCTCACCAACTGCTGAAGACGTCCCGCAGCAGAGCGAGTCACATCCAGCCTGACAAAGTGCATCGTGGCCACCACGTTCGGGTGCTTACACGACAAACTGACCTAAGGGGGGGGGAGTGGGGTGATTGTCGGGGAATGGAGAGGGGATGGGAATGGGAATGGGCATAGTGGCGGCGGGCGTTTTTTTAGGGTTTATGTATTATCTTTACTGCGAAGTTTAGAATGTCTAGATTCAGTTCCCGCACCGGTTTCCATCGATAAAAAGCCCTTCCTTTTCTTTCCCCAAGGAAAAACCCGTTCCCCTTTTTCCTAAGCCCCGCGCGAGCTTCAATACATGCACGTTTATATACAAGGTTTGCAACCACACAACACACACACACACACACACCTTTTCTTTCCCAACCCCTCCCCGCCTACCAGAACCACCAGGAATCTCCCTTCGTTGTTTTATTTCCTCCCCCCGCACCGCCACGTACACCAACCTCCCCGCCTTCCCTCCTTGCCCCTCCTTGCTCCGCTCCCCAGTTTGCAGCTTCGGACGCCGGCAGTTGCTTTCCCTTCTTGGCTTGACAGCATGTGTTTTCCCTCCTTCACCTAGTCCCCCACTTCACGCCATTCCCGCCTTCACCCCTCCCCCGCCTCCCCCTCCCCCGCCTGCCAATCCCCCCCCAGCTAAGTCCCTCACTTGCAGCTCCCGCTCTATGATGGGCATCTCCCGGGTCCCATGGGTCAGGATTTTGACCGCGCAAGGCCCATCTCGCCAGATACCGCCGTACACTCGACCAAAAGATCCAGCACCCAGAAGGACATCTGACGATGAGTGGCACAACAGGCAAGCAGGACAGGCAGGTGAGGTGGGGGGAGGTAGAGGTAGGGAATGAGAATGGGCGGTTATATTGTTAAGAGGAAATGCATATTCGCACAAAATGTGAGACGCAATCTTGTAAGCTTGCAGCAAGGGTTGAAGCTGAATAGCAACCTTTAGGAAAATGTAGGTAGAGAAGTAGGAGAATGTAGGCCGTTTAATAAACCTTAAAACCCCACCCCATCTTAACGAAAAACGAAAACCCCAACCACACTTCCACACCCACCGTAATAATAAAACGCTTAAAATGTTAACATTGCATGCTAAGGCCCTCTGAAATCATTGACTGAAATCACTACAGCCTTTCCAGGTCCTGAAGCCTATAGCTTTATATAACAACCCCTCTTCCCTCTCCCCTCCCGATCAAGCACGCACTCAGGCGGATATCGTCGGGCGCGCTGAGTTGTCGCTGCTGCTCCAATAGCCCTTCCAATCCCCCTCCCATCCCCACAGCCACGGCGGCTGCAGCAGCTCCGAAACCAGGACCTCCCGCGGTGACTCCAGCCGCTGAGATGATTCCGGACTCGGTTCCGGCCACAATGCTAACGGATTCATTGGTGGTGATGGTGTTGGTTTCGGAGCTGCTGCTGGGCTGATTGCAGCTACGGCAATCCTTTTTGGCTCCTCCGCCCGTCAAGTGGTTGTTGATTAGGGGACTGCGGTGTGGGAGCGGATGAGGAGGGGCTTGGGGGGAACACATACATGAACCGTATCCCCAAGCGCACTAGGAGGAAGACAACCTTCAAGGATAACCGAATAACCGAAGGGCCACCTTTGGGGTCGTCAAGCTTGGTTGTCCATATTTGGATGCAACAACGACAGCAACAACAGCAACAGCAGTTGCTGACCTAGGGGTAGCCTGGAAAAGGGTTTGTTTACGCGTAGGTGAACACTGTGCAAATGAAGTCTTCCCCCTACATACAAACACACACACACACACACACACAAACGCACGCAAACATACACCTCGCGCACATTCACGCACGGCACCCTTTTCCTTACCCTTTGATCGAACCCACAGCCTCCTCGATGTCCTCGAGTTTACATGAGTCCTGCAGTACAATCGTACGGTTCCGTACGGTGCAGCCGTATCGCGGGTTCAGCTCAGTCAAGCGGTATTGAAAACACGCACTTTCCTCTACCCATCCACCCAACCACCCCATCGTCCATACCCGCCAGCGAATGGCATAGGCTGCCCCTGGCCACCCGCACCAGTCCCCTTCCCAGCTCCGGAACCACATCACATAAAAATGACAAGTGGTCAAGAGGAGGATACGGCAGGCCACAGAGCAAAGGACAAAAGTACTTTGCAATTATCTAAAAAATGTGCATCTTGCGGATTGGAAATGCGATATTATATTGCCGTCATACATTGTCGTAAAACTATCGTACCGTGCGTAAATCGAAGCAGCCGGGAAGTCCTCCCCCGCATTTCTGGCCACGACGACGGACGAGTATGACATACAGCGCCACAGCTACGAGCAAACCGCCTGCGGGACCACGCATAATTAAAACATATCATGATTTAACCCAGCTTGTCACAAGAAAGGAAATGAACAGGAAACGTACAGGAAACGTACGGAGACGTATGATAATGTACGATAATGGAAGGCGATATAGGTAACGTGTGGAAATGTACGAAATGTAAGGAAGTGTACGATAATGTACGGAAATCCAAAAGTTGAGCGCTGACCCCCATGTTGGGTTTCAATTGGGATCACCAGTCATCAAAGGTAGCGTTTCAGCATGGCAAATAATGGACATGGTCGTGAATGACATGGCGCCTGGCATTGGAGCTCAAATTTGGGTTTTGAAGGCGCGTGAAAGCAAGGAGGCTTTTGCAGACGGAGGGATCGCCACCTTGGGATAAAAATGCAAAAGCGAGGTTTTTTCAACACACACTGTGCGGCGTCGACATAAGCCATCTCGCTTATTTCCTGTTGGTGAGTTTTGTCACGGTTTTGAATTGAGACATTCCTTTTCTCCCAATTTTCCCTCGTTCCTTTCCTTCGCTGCTGCTTGTCGCATCTGTAGCACGATGAAAGGAACCATTCCGTTTTTAAAGACAGTGCAATAAAATTCGACAACAAGAATAGGATAATAAAACTCCTTGGATAATGATTATGATAAAAAAACATTTAATCAACAAAGTGTAGCTTACCCGCACCGCCAACCGCGCCGCTAATCCCTGCCACCAGCCCGAAACGATCCCATCTCCCACTGCCGCCTCCACCGCCATCGCTGAATGGTCCATCCGACAAATGTACGGCAGCTGATTTGAGCACGACATCTGCCGTAATACCGGGAGGTACATTTGCAAGGAGCTCCAGGAAGCAGTCGCGCTCGCTTTTCGTCTGCATAAGGACGCGTTGACACGATAGTCAACACATCCGGAGAGAAGGGGAGGGGACTGATTAAAGTAAGGATTAGAACGTTTGGAAGTGTCTCCTCTGGGTGTGTGGATGACAGTAGTGGGTCATCTAGATACGAGGGCGTCAGTACAAAACTTAACCATCAGCATTGTCTAGACAGTGTAATAATATGACGTGTGAAACAGGGGGTACATCTTCACCCGTGGCAGCTACCCTGCGAAACGCTGCCTTCCCGATATTTCGGGGCACCCTTATCCAGTCACCCTAGTCAACTTCTCAGTGGATCACTCAGGTTCCGCACCCAAAACCAGCATCCAACGAAATCTACCGGGTCGACAGCGGCCCAACTCCATTCCTTATCGGCTCGCAGGTTACCTTTCTCCCAGGTCACCACCGTCCATCAACTAGGGGCACAATACCTTGGGAATTGGTCGCGCATTAACAGTAGTGCCTAACCCAGTATAACAATATATGGACAAGTCGTCGTATAATAGGCAACAATAGGCAACACTACACAACAATAACAAGAACAACAACAATAATGATGATAAATATTATTATTATTATTATTAGATAGATAGATCGGTAGGTAGATAGATAGATAAATAGACAGATCATATATATATATAGATAGATAGGTCTGGTCTGGGTTGACACTACTGCAAATAGCGGTTCAAGGTCCTAGGGTTCGATTCCCGGGGAGACCCCCGGAATTAGTCGGGAGCGCGAGATTATGGCTAGCTGCTGAGATGTGGAGTTGAGGTCACAGTTGATGGACCAGATTCGCACGCTGGATTGGTGGCAATTGCCGAACCCTCCGTCTCTTCGGGTGTTCGGGTGAATGGATGAGGAGGGGTCCCTGAAGGCTGGATCCGCCGCCTTGGACTTACAGTTCGTATGGCGAAGTACAGTGTGGTAGTGGTGGATGGTGCTATAAGGTGATAAAATCGTAGAACTGACAAAGTGATAAAGCGACCCAGAAGCCTCCCACTCTGTAACATTACAAAATGTAACATTACAAGATAGATAGATAGATAGATAGATAGATAGATAGATAGATAGATAGATAGATAGATAGATAGATAGATAGATAGATAGATAGATAGATAGATAGATAGATAAATAGGACCAGGAAATAGATCGTATATAGACACCTCATCATATACAATGATTTATAGACTGTACCAAGGTATTATAGACAGGCCTGAAAGTAGATATAAATTGATTATCAAAAACTACGACACCTCCTTCACTCAGCCATGGCGCGAACCGACGTACAGTCCGTACGAAGCACCCCTCTTGGTAAAAGATATGAGCTTGATAAGAATGATTATGCTAGGCACAAGGGCATATGGAAGAAAAATAACTCTATGAAACAATTTAATGACCCTCTTCGAGCCCACCTGGGTGCAATTTTTCGGCACGGCCATATCGCACAGGAGCGTGGTGTTGTGGATCACAGTAGTGTAGCCACCAACCTGTGCGTAAATACATTTTAACAAAAAGGATGACATTGATGATAAAGTCGACGTGCAGGAGTTGAGAGATTACGCGGCGTCAGAAGCAGCAGGATCTGGTGGTTTGTGAAATGCAAAGGTAATATAAGCCAGACAGGTTGTTCCAGCACCTGTGGATTCCTTACAGCCAAAGCAAAAACAGTAATGCGAATATGAAATGATAGTACACAAGGACGAAAGCAGACCTGGCCGTAATTCGGCAGCGTGCTCGTCACGTCCACCAACAGTACGGCAGGGCTGTAGCAGTGCCGTACAACCCCGGATGCCGATGCCGCCTTATTCGCCTGTGCGGATGACAACGATGACGGTGACGGTGACGCCGACCCGTTCGAGACTCCAGCAGCCTTTGGCGCCAACGACTCAGACGCCGACACTGCCGCGTCACACCACGTGTCATTCAAACCCAGATGCCGTACGGTTTGGTTGCCCGGGAAGCCCGGGAAGCCCGCTGCACGCCGCAGCGCGGTATATCCGTTGAGTAAGTCCGCGGCAGCGGGACATACGGTATTGTGAAGTAGACACGAATCAATTACCACAGTCGCCCCGGAGGACTCCGAAACCACCTCAAGCGTCTCGTGTTGGAGCCATGTGCCCAGTGTCGTACCGGAGACCTGCACCCGAAGGCGAAATAACCAACCACAACGCCGGGATGGTAAATCACACGAAATGGGGATACAAGTTTTCTTTTGAGATGTCTATGGAGACTCTTACTGCAGGTCTATAAGGCACTTGCAAAGGCACAACGCGCCTTGCTAAGCGTTTGCGCGAGCTGACCCAAATCGAAAAACCCAAATCGAAAAAACCAGGGTAATGTTGATACATTGATTGCGTGATGAAGAAGGGGCGGCGAAGAAAGGAAGCTGGAGCGGCGCAATTTCATTTGGCGTTGCATTTGGTATGGATTCCTCGGAGAAAGGACACAGCGTAACAACACACACCTCCAGGTTTCTAAGCACCAGCATAGCTCCCGCATCCAGGTGTAGGCGACCCTGCATATTCGCAAAATCCACCCTGGGCAGCCGATAAGTCGTTTTTTCCTGCTCGCACGACGGCGAAAGCTCGCTGGGAATGCTGCTGTTGCCGCTGGAAGCACTATTGCTCGCGCGCAATTCAGTCGTAATTTTGTTTTCCTGACTTGCTGGAGCTGGAGTAGTAGCGATACGTTGACCCTTAAAAGTCAAGACTGGCTTCGGGCCTCCCGTTGTCACGGAAGAAAGGCTCGCGTGACCCCCTCCTCCGGGCCAGCGTATTGGGTCAGGCCAGTTGGTCGCGTTGAAAAGCAAATCACCAGTCACAATTAAAGATACGGGCGGCGCAAGGGTAGCAAGCAGATGTGGCAGCTGAGCGGCAGAGCTGATGGTAGCGGTGGAGCCTGCAGCGGACTCAGGGGGTTGCTGCGCGACTGTAAAATTGGCCCAAAAGATGAGCCGATAAAAAAGCGCGGCAGCCACAGCTTTGCAGAGCGCCATATCTATTTTACTCATCTTCCGCAGCATGGTGCGTATCTATTTTTTGCGTGACCAATATGGGAAAACAGCTAAGAGATCACAGCGTTGCGCCCCCTTAATAACAGCCACAATACGGGACTAATTGTGGAAAATGAATCACGTTTAGCAGCGTGAAGCGGCTCCGGGGCACAGCAAAGCCCCCTTGCAGGAACAGACCACAAGCACACGTTTTTTGCTGGGCAAAAGCTACATCGCTCTCTGAGACAATTGGCAGGTGTACGAATTCGGCCGCCACGAGGAGAAAAAGCAAGCGGCAGCATCCCGGGCTTCATGTCGATTGTACGGCAGCGCTGCCGAACTTTTCCCGCGGCAACTTAATTGCTATCACACTCCAGTCTAGACCCAAATTCCACTTTTTCCACTGCGATCTCCAATTATATATTTCAATCGTAATATTCACTGGTCGATTAGGTAACTACTCCGCATTACTCAGCTTCTCGAGACCCTCTCCAAGCTCCAGCTGTAACCAAGCTTTTGACTTGACGGCTCGTTCGAATTCAAGTCGCGGCTTGCGTCGTCTGTCGTCTATCGTTTTGAGAACTGGCCGATCCGCGGTGTCGCAAGTCTATACCTCATGCGATCCTTTCACAACCTCGATGCCGCTTTGCGGCTGTTTCTACGTGTGTTGCTAGCTGCGTCTGTCCTCTCAGCAACTGCGAGCGCAAGCGCCGTAGTTCGGGTGGTTGTCAGCGAGGTCGATTTTGCATCGGCTCTTGGCGACCCAACCGTCTCGCGCATCCTCGTTAACGCAACCGTCGGTCCGCTGACTTTGACCCAGGCGAGTAGTTAGGATTCGGTGCAGTCGGTGTTAGGCTATGGCACCTGCGATCAGAGGAGCTCCCTTGCCGTGCCCTGCCTGCGATTTTGCTGTCGTTTAATCTTGTTTTTTGACAAAAATTACAAGCCACCAACTGGCAGGCCGCAGCTCCGTTGGGACTCAACCTTGCTAGTTATGCAACTTGCTAGTTAGGTTTTGCATGCTTGGAGCATTACCACTTTATAATGCTCACTGCTTTATAATGCTCACTCCTGGCTTAAAACCCACTTTGAGACGGCCTTTTAATGTTTGCTGTGCAACTGCGCTTCAGGAAGACTTTCTGATCATGATATTTCTCAATAATTCCGATGCAATCCGACTCGCTCGCTCAACTCCGCTCGCTTGCTTATTACTTGCTTCCACACCTCGCCAGGCCTTCTGGTCCAAATTCAAGTCGCCCATCGTCGTTGACCGCTCCATCGTCATCGAGCCCACTCTGGACAGCCCTCCGCTGCCCATCTTTGACTTCGCCTATGTCGATGGCAAAGCCCTTATCACCGGCTGCATCCCACTACCTGGCGACGCCCCCACAACTACTACTATACCTACTACTACGAATGATAATAATACAGCCTCGCCACCTGGGTCACAAACCCCCTCCACTCCTTCTTCACCGCCTTCTTCACCACCATCTACAACGCAAGCCGCCGGCGCAGCACCCAGCGCTACTTTTACTCCTTCCACCAACGGCTCCTCGACTGCCGGCGGTCCGGTCAACGCGCTTGCCGCCCGCCGGACATCGTCTTCCGACAACAACTCGCGCCGCGCGCTTCACAGCGAGAACTTGGCTTTGATGACCGGAGGCAGCAACAACAGTATCAACAACAACAACAGCAAGGACAGCAGCAGTGGCGGCGGCAATAACGACGGCGGCGTCACGAAGGACGCACAGCTCGACTACGACACCAGCATAGACCCAAGGGGCGTCATGGTCACTATCCGAGGCTTTGAACTGAGGCATATCCAGGTGCGCAGGTGACAACCGTGCTTTCGACCTGCTGGCGGTTTGACTCAAATCGGATGACCTGCCGACCTTGTTCACAATGGCACAGGGGTGCTCGATTGTCAGCTGGTCTGTTAATGTCAAAAGGTTTAAGTCGATGAAATAGAGCGTTTCGGTGAATGTAACACTATCCTACAAAGGATGGGGACTTCTGTGTTGCAGAGCGGCTTTTTCCTGGACGTTTAGGAAAATGTATCTATGCCGCGGGGTTGTGCGAAAAGCGTCAAAACAGGCCTGATCACGGTCGCTTACACAACGGTAGACCAACGGAACTGCAAGCTGAACCATCCAGAACCAAATCTGATGTGGGTTTCACTGGGTTGATAAGACCTAGTACATGACTCTGATAATTGCTCATCTGGGTTGGGCGGATTTGGCCGACCTTAAGACGGGAAAAGTTTCCTGATAAATTCCCTTTTCCCTTTTCCCAAACCAAAAAGGTTCGAGTGTCATTTGGGTTTTGGATTTCCCCCGACGCCTGCGAGCTGCGAGTGGAGGACAGCATCAACCACCTTGAGGTGCGTGATACGGCGGGCAGCCGCAGTAGTAGATGGCCGCTGAAAAGGCCTCTACTGATACTGGCGAAAGGGCGTTAGTGCGTGTTTATAGACGATATGTGTGCCGTAATATCTACAGCTACTACAGCCGCCGGCGGTGGGCGCGTGTTGCGGGCTGGAGGCTACCTATTGTGAGCCTTGCTGTGGTTGCTGCATGTCTTGGCTGACCTTTAATACTTAGCTCGCATCGATAATGCACGGCGCCTGCTGCCTCTTCCGGATGCTGAATAGAGCTGATGTGGGTCAGAATCGGCTGCTCTATCCACATCAACGAGGAAAATGTTTAGCTCTCTAAATTGGCGGGCAGCGAGCCTGATAATGTTTTACTAACACACATTCTCAAAAGCACGTACGAATCACTCTCTTCCTTCTAAGCAAGTAAGTAATAAGCTGTCGACGACCCACGTGCCGTCGACGGAGTGATGTGACGTGTAGGGGCGTTCTTAACATCACCACCTCGCGGTCGGAAACCCTAACTGGCAATCTGGGCCCGGCTGCTGTCCTCTCTCTGTCTCGCTGTCTTCTTCTTGACCCCTTTTTTCATCTCTCTCCCTACCCTTTCCCCCTGCCTGCTGGCGCACCTCGGCAGGTGGCCATGCCCCGATCCTTCGGCAATCGCTTCTGGGCTAACTCCGCTCGGCCTGGCGTGTACGGTACTCGCGGCTGGCCGCAGTTGTTCAGCTACCTCACGGAGTTCTGTTACCCCAATAACCCGAAGCTGTGCTACTCACCTTCGATAGACCTGTACGACGTTGCGTTGATAAATCCGCTAACGGTACGTCATGTACGTCAGGGAATCAGAGTCACAATGTGCGCTGCGTGGCCACGCAGACTTTGGCCGCTGACTAGCATGGCAGTTCTATTCAAGACAAATACTGATTCTGCCTGATAATGCTACAACAGTGCGTACTTCACGCCTGGGAAAAAAAATGTTGGGGCCCCTCCACGGAACGTCTTGCACGTCATGCCGCGGACACCTGTCTATAAAATTTACAAACCACCTAAAACTCTCCAAATTGCTGGGATCATCTGCTATGCTGTGTACAGCACCTGTGTATGTTAACCCGCTGCTGTGTCCGTTACCCGCCCTCTTTATCTTTCCCGCTGGCGCCAGTCCTCGAGCGGCGGTTACGTCTTGCACTATCTACGGACTTTCTCCCACGGCGACGTAAACATGGATGAGGTAAGGGCCGTGCTTCGGGTTCTCGTGTCTTAAGGAGACGGAATATTTTTTAGACATATTAGACACTACTGTGCAGGCAGCGTGTTGCGGTTACGGTTACGTGACGTGTCTCCTACATGGCTGCTACTGCTGCTGTTGCTGCTGCTGCTAAAGCTTACCATGGTATGGCTTTAGCCCAGGTTTGTTTCCCAACCTTACCATGGTATGGCTTTAGCCCAGGTTTGTTTCCCAACCTCAGGTTTAGATTAATGGGAGCATATTCAGGCGCGCAAGAGCTACTCCTACGTCGTGTCGTCATGCTTTGCAGTAGTTGAAGCCTTTCTTTGCTTCGGTCACGAAACCGGCATTAGGTTGATAGTTTTACCGTTTCATGTGTACCGTACCGCCAACCAACAGTTTCTACGTCCACGCTGTCCAAGGCGCTTTCAGGGCCTGGCTGTAGGAATGAAACGAATCTATCTACCTCCCTGCCTCCCTAACTACCTCCCGACATACCTACCTACCTACCTACCTACCTACCTACCTACCTGCCTACCTACCAATCAACAATCAACCAAAATTTGAACCCCGGGGACCATGAAGAAACCCCCTGCCCCGTCACTTGAACTTCCTAACCTTGGCTGGAGCAGGAATGCGTCAAGGCCAGGGCGTATCCAGATTGCGTTCAGGAGGCTCTAGCCAAGCTGCACGGCCTGCGTATACCCGCGGAGGGGACCATCGCCGGGGGCGGCCTGGCGGCGGTAAGATAACGGTTACTATATTCAGCTTTCCGTCAGGGAAGCAATTGACCATTTACGGATTGAGGGTGCGACGCATAGCTGTTGAGCTGAAAATTAAAACGCAGAAAATGTAAAATGCTAGGTGAGTTGATTGTGTATTGTAGTCGAGAAGTCCCCGGTCGGCGACCGCACTTCATCAAACCTGGCATCGAACTAAATGGACCTTTGTTGTAAGTACGATATTTTTCGGCATACGGTCCTTGGGTCCTAAATAACGTAGGGGTCGAGCCGCCTATGGGCTTAACATGTGCGCTTGGTTGAATTTTGACCGCGCAGTGTTTAAGAAATAGTCCGGAGGCCTGATCAGCTCTATGCTGAACACCAATGTATCACCTAAATCAAGGGGGCCACATGCCAGTATTTTATGTCTGCCGTACGCTTCCGGCGCACCACACACGATTCTTATTCCGTCAGGGTCCCGGCGACATGAACGGCTCGGCAGCAACTACACAGCCGGCGGCCGCCAGTCCTTCCAAATCACGTTCCACCAAGCTTCCCATCATCCTGTCGTTGCTGATCGGCGTCCCAATACTCCTGGCAGCCCTGGCGGGGATGTACTGCTACTATCGACTGCGTGTACGGCGACGGGAGACCTTCAACACGCCCATATACGATACTGATGCTGAAGCTGCCAGCAGTACGCCTCTAGCAGCCGCCGGCGCCTCGAGCAGCCAACTCACCAGCAGGTGTGTGAGTGGGTATTGAATCTGTATGAGATGAGTACGGCGAGTATGGCGAGGAGAGGAGGAGACATGGAGCCGTTGGGCGTTTGACTGACGGTTGGAATAAATGTACGGTTCCGTTAGGAATTTCGAGTATGTCAAGGAGAACATTTCAAGCTCAGATGTCCCTTGAGCATGTCCGGCAAGCCTCCTCTTCACAGTCGAGCCTGACGCCATTTTGGTTCGCAAGGACTTGTAGGGACCATTAGTCTTTGGATTTGTACGGGCTGTACGGCACCACAATAATAATTGTCACTCCGTTGTTATTGGTCATCAATGACGGATCTTGCTGCTTTACCAAGCATTGGCCCCGAAACCGTAATCCCGTAATTCTTTTGACCGAAATTGAACATTCACCTTATTAAAGGGTGAGTCATGGCGTTCCGGGCCTCCGTTCCCCGTCATTGCCATCGCACCTCACCCCGGGTCTGTACAGGGAGCCGTTGCTGGACGGCGGCGACAACGACAATGGCAGTAGTGGCCACGGCCGGCGTGGTACGACAGCGTATGGCACCGGTTTCGTAGCCATCCTTACCGGTCCGGACGGCATCTGCCTGGGCGGCCTGTTGGGCAGCGGCTCCTTCGGAAAGGTATTTGAAGGTACGAAAAGCAGTGCAGAAGGGTTTTAGCTCCTTTCTAAAACGTGTAGGGTTTTAGGGGTTTTGCGTGCCAGTGCGTATTTACAGCCCAGTCCCCCCTGTGTCCCGCCGTCACCCTACCATCCACTTGCTGTCAACCGTTCGTACCTACTCGTCACCTTATCGTACTCTGCCGTCACCTCATCGCCGGTACCAGGATTTCATCCCGCTCTACCATTTGGACGCCCCGTCGTTTACAGGCATGTGGCACGGCCGTCGAGTGGCAGTCAAAGTGGTCTCCACACGCAATGCACATGAAGATGAGAAGGTACGACAAATAATCACAAACATCAGGAAGAAAGGGAGCCCCAAGGAACGGACACTAAGACGTCACGGCGCAGTGGGCACCGGATGCAATAGCCGCACGATTTCGATCCGCGGGGTCCTCCACCATTTTCCCCTTAACTGAAGAACTCTTAGCTGACGATTGCCATAACTTCAAACCCCCCAAGCACCAGCTCGTTACCTACCGACAACACCCCGCTGTCCTTGTCTTGGGGTGCTCGCTCTCATCCGCTCCTAAGGTGCAAAGAGAAGTCCGAATGACCTCCCAGCTCAGCCACCCCAACATCGTCAGCACACTCACCTCGGCCAAGATCGGTCCCGCCAGCCGCACCTCGACGTACAGCAGCCGGCAACCCCAACAGCCCGCCGCTGCCGCGGGCCCCCCCGTCGACGGTACGCCTCCCGACACCGCAGCGGCGACGGATACCCCAATCAGAGCCGCTGCTACCGCCGCCGGCAGCGGCGCCGCCGCAATCACTGGCGGCGGCGCCGCCAAGCCGTTCGTGTCTATGAACTCTCAGAAGACGAACGGAAGCTGGCGGTCTGGATCCGACGCCGCGGCGATGATGACGACGCCGTCGACGATGCTGGGGACCTCAGCCTCGGGTGGCTTCCGTAGCGGCAGCGGCAGCAGCAGCAACAGTACTCCTTTCCCAGGGCACGGCAATACTCTGGGGTCTTCGGCGTTGCACTCGCCTGGTAGGTCACTGACACCCGGTCCCTTCACTGTCGACAGGATAGGCCTGAGATGAAGGGCTCGTGCCGGGTGATATGGACAGCCCAGAGCATTCGTATTTGTTAGCCTGCGTGCTTCCCAAGTGGATGGTGTATAGCATATTTATGAAGGCGCCTGCTGACATTCCTAATCGTCCCGTTGGCCGGGGGCCCCCGCTGCCCCTCCTCGTTGACTTTCTTCCAGGGGCCGACGCCACGGCAGCGCCCGTCGCCAACCTTTTCCGCAGCTTCTTTTCGAAGCTCGACTCCGCCGCTGCCACAGCTCCAGCTGTCGCTGCCGGAACCGCCGCCACTACCACCACCGCAACCAGCGCCCCCTTCGGCTCATCCCCAAGAAGCATCTTCCAAGTAGCAGCCATAGAGCCCGTCGCCGCCGTCCCCGCGGTCGCCGCCGCCGCCGCTGCTGCTGCTGCTGCTGTCATCCCGGGCCCGGCAGCTCAGGACCGTCCCATCCAAATCCCACGGGTCCGAAGGGAAGACGTGGTGATTAACCGGGCCACATTTCCTACACCGATGGGGGTTTTAGGGTTGGGGTTGAGTCCAGCACGGCGGTCGCACCGATGGCAGCAACAGCAGCAACAGCAGCAGCAGCAACAGCAGCAGCAGCAGCAGTACTGCGGTCAAGCGCTAGCGTTTGCTGCCGAGATTCTGGACGTCGAGGCCGAGCAGCACCGGTGGGAAAAGGCAAAGACGCACACACATTGTGATGCGAGGGAAGATACAGTTACGGCGATTTACGGCAGAGACTGCGAATTGCCGGAAACCCTAAAGCACATAAAGCGGACGAATGCAAGAGAAGAGGAAGAAGCGGAGGAGGAGGAGGAGGAAGAAGTTGCAAGGAGGGAGCGGGAAATTGAGGCGGAGGTGGAGGCGGAGATGGACGAGTTCGACGCCACGGTTCCGCCGTACAGCCCCGCGCCGTCGACGGTTGTAGTCATGCCCGTACCACCAGGAAGTAAGCATTGCGTCTGTACGACAAGTGCTTGGGTGTTGCTGACCTAGGGATGAGGGGC